TATCCCTAGTTAAGTGGGTGTTTTGGCGGCCCCCCAACTTAGCCCCCCAAGTTGGCAGCCCCCCCAACTTGGATGCATTCAAAATGCATTTGAACAACAGATTCAACCCAGATTCAACCAGATTATTTTCACCATCTGAATAACCCCTTGATCAAAGCTATGTCCTAGTCCAAACACAAGCTAAACACCAGTTCAGATCCTAAAACAATTTGAGCTTTCTGAATAAACTCTCCTTCTAAAAGGAGGCCACAAGGTTGTCCACACAGGCCAGATAGAACTACTGTCTTCATGCCAAGTAGTCCTGATGACACGGGACCCAATCCCTAGTTCTGGTGTGAACTGTCCAGACAACATGCATCCAGTTCAACACTGAATCCACCATATACCCGTCTTAAAATGATTTTAAATAACTCACCTTTTGTTCTGGATCTTCCCAGAAGATCTGGAAACCACCATTGCGACACTGGACAGCTGTTTACAATGCATCCTGCTATGCTACCTACTGCCACCATCCCTGCAGTAAGTTGCTCACTCTGATGTCAGAATGAGGTACTTAGTCAAATGATCAACACTGGGTACCTCATTTTGATTTCAGAGCAAGCAACTCCCTGTGGCGGTGCTGGACAACACAGCAGGCTATACATGTCAACAGCTGCCTGATATTGCATTGGAACGCCACACGTAACAGGGAGATGTCAGGGCAGCTCTAGAGCCAGAATACTCTAGGCTGTTCCCAGAGTATTCTGGCCCATGAAGAGTTGGCCTACAAGTTACATAGAATACAAATATGCCCTCAAATCAGAATCTCCATAGTGCCTTCTCTTGCATCACACTTCCCATGTCTTTTCCATAATATTGGCTACATATCCTGAGAAAAATGGAAAGATGCAACACAGGTGATTGTTAATAAAAACCACCTCTTCCCAATTTCTGCATGTTTTGTGTGAAATGGGGTTGGTGCTAAAGCCAAATATCTCCTGTTAAACTCTTTCACTCTTCCTATAATGTATCACTACCCACTTGTCAGTAATGTGGAGCACTGATAGAGAATGTGATGCCAGCCATTGGTAAGTGATCAAACATACTACAGGAGGGGAAGTAACCATGCAATAATGCTAGTTTTGTCAGCATTCCCATGTTCTATATATGATGCAGTTCCACTTTAATCTGGACAGTTTTAGGAGGCATTATTTTGCATATAAAAAAAATTGTTTTAATTATCCAGATGTTTGAATTTGCCCCTGATCATGCAGTCAGGCTTACTAAACATAATATATAGATGAAGAAAGGTAAATGTAAGTACTGCTATCACGTTTAATAAGGAAGAAATCTCATAAAATTATGCAGGAAACACTGTGTAACATTTTCAGAGAACATTGCGTCCTGCTTTTCCCTTTTTAACCCAGGTAAGCACCAGGACAATATTAAACATTGTACAGCTGAAAACCAGCAAGTGGGAAGAACATATTTCTAGCTGTGTTGACAGGTTTGATATTTCACTACAAACAACACTCAACCTTTCCCTCCCTCCCCCTCCAGCAATAGATGTAAGTCAGTCACTCTGTCATCTGCTTATCTTTCTGCCTTCCTTGCTCTTTTGCTCTCTAAATTTCATGTATACTGACAAAAATAGATGCCATGAAGCATGATGGGCAGACATTTTAATAAAAATAGCAGTCTGTGCTAATACTCAGTGAAGACTGGCACTTTGTTTAAATCACATGGACATGCTGAAGTTTCTGAACAGAGTGGTATGTGTTAATAGTATTTTCTTATTTGCCATATTTTGCCTCACCTTTTCTCACCATCTGTAACAGGTTTTTCCTTTTGATAGATGTCATGCCAGACTAATCTGATCTCTTTTTTTGATAAAATTACCAGC